ATTACTTGTTATTGTTGTCAGAACAAGTGATTGTTGCATAAAAGGCAATCATTCTATGATAATGACTGTCTTTTATGCAACTTTGTTTGAAATCTTATTTGATTCTAAAAAAAGTTGCTTAGTAAACAACAATTACTTGTTATTGTTGTCAGAACAAGTGATTGTTGCATAAAAGGCAATCATTCTATGATAATGACTGTCTTTTATGCAACTTTTGTTGAAATCTTATTTGATTCTAAAAAAAGTTGCTTAGTAAACAACAATTACTTGTTATTGTTGTCAGAACAAGTGATTGTTGCATAAAAGGCAATCATTATATGATAATGACTGTCTTTTATGCAACTTTGTTGAAATCTTATTTGATTCTAAAAAAAGTTGCTTAGTAAACAACAATTACTTGTTATTGTTGTCAGAACAAGTGATTGTTGCATAAAAGGCAATCATTCTATGATAATGACTGTCTTTTATGCAACTTTGTTTGAAATCTTATTTGATTCTAAAAAAAGTTGCTTAGTAAACAACAATTACTTGTATTGTTGTCAGAACAAGTGATTGTTGCATAAAAGGCAATCATTCTATGATAATGACTGTCTTTTATGCAACTTTGTTTGAAATCTTATTTGATTCTAAAAAAAAGTTGCTTAGTAAACAAACAATTACTTGTTATTGTTGTCAGAACAAGTGATTGTTGCATAAAAGGCAATCATTCTATGATAATGACTGTCTTTTATGCAACTTTGTTTGAAATCTTATTTGATTCTAAAAAAAGTTGCTTAGTAAACAACATTACTTGTTATTGTTGTCAGAACAAGTGATTGTTGCATAAAAGGCAATCATTCTATGATAATGACTGTCTTTTATGCAACTTTGTTTGAAATCTTATTTGATTCTAAAAAAAGTTGCTTAGTAAACAACAATTACTTGTTATTGTTGTCAGAACAAGTGATTGTTGCATAAAAGGCAATCATTCTATGATAATGACTGTCTTTTATGCAACTTTGTTTGAAATCTTATTTGATTCTAAAAAAAGTTGCTTAGTAAACAACAATTACTTGTTATTGTTGTCAGAACAAGTGATTGTTGCATAAAAGGCAATCATTCTATGATAATGACTGTCTTTTATGCAACTTTGTTTGAAATCTTATTTGATTCTAAAAAAAGTTGCTTAGTAAACAACAATTACTTGTTATTGTTGTCAGAACAAGTGATTGTTGCATAAAAGGCAATCATTCTATGATAATGACTGTCTTTTATGCAACTTTGTTTGAAATCTTATTTGATTCTAAAAAAGGTTGCTTAGTAAACAACAATTACTTGTTATTGTTGTCAGAACAAGTGATTGTTGCATAAAAGGCAATCATTCTATGATAATGACTGTCTTTTATGCAACTTTGTTTGAAATCTTATTTGATTTCTAAAAAAAGTTGCTTAGTAAACAACAATTACTTGTTATTGTTGTCAGAACAAGTGATTGTTGCATAAAAGGCAATCATTCTATGATAATGACTGTCTTTTATGCAACTTTGTTTGAAATCTTATTTGATTCTAAAAAAAGTTGCTTAGTAAACAACAATTACTTGTTATTGTTGTCAGACAAGTGATTGTTGCATAAAAGGCAATCATTCTATGATAATGACTGTCTTTTATGCAACTTTGTTTGAAATCTTATTTGATTCTAAAAAAAAGTTGCTTAGTAAACAACAATTACTTGTTATTGTTGTCAGAACAAGTGATTGTTGCATAAAAGGCAATCATTCTTATGATAATGACTGTCTTTTATGCAACTTTGTTTGAAATCTTATTTGATTCTAAAAAAAGTTGCTTAGTAAACAACAATTACTTGTTATTGTTGTCAGAACAAGTGATTGTTGCATAAAAGGCAATCATTCTATGATAATGACTGTCTTTTATGCAACTTTGTTTGAAATCTTATTTGATTCTAAAAAAAGTTGCTTAGTAAACAACAATTACTTGTTATTGTTGTCAGAACAAGTGATTGTTGCATAAAAGGCAATCATTCTATGATAATGACTGTCTTTTATGCAACTTTGTTTGAAATCTTATTTGATTCTAAAAAAAGTTGCTTAGTAAACAACAATTACTTGTTATTGTTGTCAGAACAAGTGATTGTTGCATAAAAGGCAATCATTCTATGATAATGACTGTCTTTTATGCAACTTTGTTTGAAATCTTATTTGATTCTAAAAAAAGTTGCTTAGTAAACAACAATTACTTGTTATTGTTGTCAGAACAAGTGATTGTTGCATAAAAGGCAATCATTCTATGATAATGACTGTCTTTTATGCAACTTTGTTTGAAATCTTATTTGATTCTAAAAAAAGTTGCTTAGTAAACAACAATTACTTGTTATTGTTGTCAGAACAAGTGATTGTTGCATAAAAGGCAATCATTCTATGATAATGACTGTCTTTTATGCAACTTTGTTTTGAAATCTTATTTGATTCTAAAAAAGTTGCTTAGTAAACAACAATTACTTGTTATTGTTGTCAGAAAAAGTGATTGTTGCATAAAAGGCAAGCGCCCGATGGTCGT